TACACTAGCACCTAATATGTGCCTGATACAAGGAGCTCGGGTGGTACAGTTGTCAAGCCTTTTGGCTGCTAACCAAAAGGTAGGTGGTTTGAACCTACCAGCTGCTCCGAGTAAGAAAGATGGGGTGGGGGGGTCTGGTTCGGTAATGATTTATAGCTTTGGAAAGCCAATAGGGATCACTGTGTATCTTCCTATAATCCTTCCAGTAAAATGAAACTCTGGCATTTCAAATTGATCATTTTCTATTTCATAGAGACTTAGTCCTGGTAATTAGGATTTTTTTCCAGCTGTAGGGAAATCCCACTTGCGGTAGACATGCTTGAGTGGTTTTGTGAAGCAGTGACTGCCCACGTTCCGTACAGTCAGCCCCGTGGCGTTTTCTGTTTTCACCAGAACAGCAGATAACATGCACTGAGCGTCACCTGACTACAAAATCCGCAACAACTGTCACAGAAAGGGTTGCTTCTGGGGCTTAGAGAGGACTGGCTTCATGATTTTTCATAAGAGGAGACAGCTGACGTGAATCGTGTCAAGCATGCTTCTGAACAAAGGCGGGCACTACCCAGATAAACGTGCCATCCCACACGCTTGCCTCAGTTCACTACTTCAGACTGAGTGTCTGGGGAGGCAGGGAAGATTTCTGTCTGCCATAAGCAAACCTGTGACGACTGGCTTTCATAGCAGAGATGACACGAGAGGGTATTTGTCTAAATGACATGGCCGTGTGATTACCAACTTCGAAGAACTAATTTCTCAGGTGGGGTATTCCCATGTGGGGTATTCCCATGTGAGCACTGCTGCGAACTCTGGCACTTTCTTGCTCTTTGCATGGAAAGTGGGATTTCCCAGCCTCGGCACCACTGACGCTTGGGGCCCAGGTCATTCTCAGTTGTGAGAAGCTATCCTGCGTCGCTGGATACCACATCACCCCTCCCCAACTGTGACAAACTGGATACCACATCACCCCTCCCCAACTGTGACAAACTAAAGCGTCTCCGGACTTGGCCATGTGTCTCCTGGGGGGCATATTGGCCTGACTTGAACACCACCGACCTGTAGCATTCCATGGTGGGAGGCCACCTGGCACCAGGTGGCATGGTGGGGTTCTTCCCCCTCTAGTCCTGAGTCAGGGACCTCTCCAGGTGTGGGCCCCAGGAAGAATCTTTGTGGCCTCTGGCCAAGACAGACCCCAGGGAAGCATCAAAAATCCTTTGCAGTCAATTGCATAGATGCCCCAAAGGAGTATTTGGCACGGACCTTTTTTTTTTTTTTTTTCTTTCTTGGTGTGTTTGTTCACTTCCCTGCCCCCAAGAGGAAAAGCTCTTTCCCAGCATGTCACTCAAGGGATGGTCAGAGATGGGTGTTCTCTGGAACCCTGGTGCTATGGGATGCTGAACAGATAGTAAGGGAAGGATCCTGGGGCCACTGCTTTTGAGGGACGTTGGTTTGAACAAGTAAACAGTCTGCTCCAGTTTGTAGGACTTTTGGGGGCACCGTTCACACCTGCGCTCAGCTGTGGCTCTCCAGAGGGACAAGAGTGGGCACATTTCTCCACCCTCTTGAACATGACTTTTCTTCACAAAGCGTTCCTTTTCCAGAGAAAATACGTTCTGAGGGACACATTTTGGGAAGTACTGTTCTAGCAGTGTTTAGGGGAGGTACTGATTCTGGGGGGCCAAGGGGCTGGTGAGAGGAGCAAGTGGGGGCAGGTACCAAGCTGAGAGGCGTGAGGAGGCCTGTAATGGGTGGGGGAGCTCACACTCGGGTCTCACACACCGTTGGGCCAGGAGAGCTCTGAGGGTGTGGAAGGACTCACCTTCTGCTTGGGGAATGAGGGTGCACCCTAGCTGCGCCCTCCTCCACCCCGCTGCCCGGCCCCTCACCCAGGGCTCCGCAGACCTCCCCTCTGTCCAGCAACTAAAGGCACAGAGTCTGGCTCAGCGAGGGCTTTCAGCACCGATGCTCCAGGGCTGGGCTGGGCCGTTTCTAGTTGGTGTTGACATGGGTTGCAAGTTGTTAACACTTTGTATATCTTCCCGGGTGTGAGGGCGAAAACAAGGGACAGTAATTAAAAGGGGTATGAAACTTTTTAGTCAGATATAGTCTTTTGATTCAGGCTTTGGCAGTCAGGCTTTTCTTATGTATTAAGCTGCCCTTTGTTGGTTAGCTTGAGAAAGGCGAGATAATCAGTGATACTGTTTTAAAATCATGTATTGTTTAAACAATAATGTATTATTGGGCATAATTCCTCTCTGAGAAATGAAACAAGATGCTATATATAATAAAATCAGTGGAAAAGAGTTTTTCCATTTCAAAGAAAGCAGCATATTTCCACAGTTAGCTCCTTTCCCAGCCACCAAGATGGAAGTTCCCGGTTGGTTGAGTCCTATGATTGGGGAGAATCCTTGGACCCACCCCAGGAGGAGGCCGTTATCTTAGAAGGATCTGGGGGTGGAGGGAGCGCCCAGCCTCAGGCCAGGCCTCTCCTGCTCTTGTCATTGGCCAGTTGTGGATGGGAGTAGCGTCAGGCAGAGCTGACCTCATAAACACAAGGTGGCAGTACTGACATGCCTGCCCAGAGGACACCTGTCGCCAGGTGAAGGAAATGGAAAGAACTCAAGAAGGAGGGTGAGGGTCTGTTCATGGGGCTTGGAAATGCTTTTATTTGCAGATTGCATATATGTTGTTTGGGTGGTTAGTTCCCATAAGCTAATCAATAGATTTTAGTGTCTATTCCTACATTTATCAATTGTAAAAGAAACTCCCAAGGTATTCTGTCATGCACTTAGCTAGGAAAACTGTTAATGTATGTCCGAAGCTGTAAGAACGTTGATTTTGATAAGATAATGCAGATATAAGGTATGTGACTTCAGCTTCTAATGGGAGAAATAAAACTTGATTAACTTGCCTGAAATAGTTGTGATTTTTCTCAATCATGATCATGGCTAGTAAATAACGATTTGATAACCCTAATTTTACAGTTGATCTAAATTGTAAATTAGTTGTTTATTTTATCTACAAACTAGTATTGAGCAAGTGAACAATCTTCGAGAAATACAAGCCCTGAAGCGCCTGAACCCACATCCAAATATCCTTACGTTGCATGAAGTTATTTTGTAAGTATATGTGGGGCTTTAAAGATGATCCCCATTTGATGAGAGTGATCATATTCCATTTTAAGAAAGAAAACCATGGGAGATGTTTAAAATGCTTTCTTTGTAGCCCAAGAGTAATGCTTTTCGTTTGATCTGCAGGTAATTTTTATTTGTCCCTCTGATCCCTGACGTGGATATCAGTGCCTTGAGTGAGGTGATTCTGTAGCCTGAGCACCTGAGTGGCTCACGTGGTTGCCCTGTAGTTCAGTCATGTCTCGGTGCACGGGGACTGCCGAGTCCCAAGGCCTTGAATTTGAGGCTGACGTTGACTCACAGGGAAGCACCCGTGGAGCTTTTTCAGGGCCTGCCTCTTCTCAACCCCACCACTTGCTCTATCTGCACCGTCTCCTGTAGCCTTCCTTACTGTCATTTGTGTAGTTTTCATTTCTGTTCTGATCACAGGATGGTGCCCTTAAGGCTCACCTAGCACCCAGAGGACAGAGCCCAGCCTCTCTGGCAGTGCCTGCCTGGTGCCAGGGCGCCTTCCCCCGGCAGTCCGCCCGCACTGCACTCTGGACCTGAGCCAGGGATTGCGGGGCCCACCTCTGGGGGCCTGCTTCCCATGAGCTGAGGTAATCCTACTGCTGTGATGTTGGAGCCTGTGGCAGCTCTCAAGGAAGCCAGGCCTCTAAAACCAGCAAAGGCAGTCTGGTCTCTGACAAAGTGCAGGGAGATTTCAATCAACGGACTGAACGTTTGAAAACCTCAAGTGAGCTGTCTGGCCACAGCTGTGCAGCACTGGGGCCTGCAGTGCTTGGTCCCGGGCCAGGCCCTGCTAGAGGGTGCGCACCGTAGGGACAAGACGCGGCAAACAGCCCCGAGAGGCAGTGGGTCCCCGAGGCTCGGGAAGGCACCCAGAGCAGCGTCTAGGGGAGACTGCCGCTCCTTTGCTTAGGGATCCTTGAAGGCGCCTTTGAACTCAGGAGACGCTGAAGGGTCGCTGATGCCTTGGTCCCAGGAGTGTGGGGTACAGATGTCACACAGTGTGGCGGGGCTCCCCCTCCTCTCTCTTCTCCTGTTTTTCACTTTCCACTCCCTCCATTGTGCATTGAGCCCAATGACCTGAGAGTAATTCAAGTAAATTAAAACTAAGTTTTCAGTCTCAGAGAATGAATTAGAATTTTTTCTTTCATTGTTTTGCTTAGCCAGCTCCCCAACCTAATTTCTTCTTTCTGCTGCTAGTTTTATATTCTCAAGAGGTATCTCTTAACAAAATAAAGCTTTTAGAATTTTTGCTTAGTTTTGCTATTATTTTAAATTACTTTTACTTTAAACATTGATTTAAAGTCAAAATCTCTGTTTTAATTTATGCTGCTGGCTTTGTCTCATGTGGGAATGCCTTATGTTTATGGAAAATGTTTAGAAATGAATTAAATATCTGATTGC